GGAGGGGGGCTCTGGGACAATCCCCAGGCTGGAGAGGGGCTCTGGGGATACCCTCGGCCTCTGCTCCACTGTGGGACCCCGGCATCGACGCTGGCACAGCTGTGGCAGGGGGGGCTCAGCTTGGGGCAGCTGGGAGCCCCGTGTCAGGGCCTGAGCAGGGTTAGGGGGTCGGGACAGGGTCCCAGCTCCCCATCCCACCGGGTGGGCATTGCTTCCAGGAGCGGGAATGAGCCAGCCGTACCCCTGCCCACGGAGAGGGGCCGGGAGCCTGGAGTCCTGCTGGTAACGGAGCCGCCGGCCCCGCGGGATCGAGGGCTTCCTGCAAGGAAGGTGGGACAGGGAGGGGAAGACAATAAACCCCAGGAAACGCTGGGAATAGCGGAGGGGATGGCCGCGCCGCCGGCACTGGGCCCGGGCGGAAGACTCAGAGCAAGGGGGGCAGCCGGGAGGGACTGGGGGGGTCCTCCTGAGCCCTGGTACATTGACACTTCCAATCTTGCCACGATTTGCCCCAAATCCTGACCCCAGGATTGTGTCTGGGAGTCAGTGGGGACTGGGGGGCTGTGGGAAGGGGCCACCAGTGACGTTCATCCCAGCAGCACCACGGGGCTCTGGTGGGTCCTTACCCTGCCCCGGCAAGTCCCAGGTGAAGGTGGGCTCGGTGGGCGCCCCTCACCGGGCCGTGGCCGCGGGCACGTGGCCGCTGAGCCCCTGTGCCGGGTGATTTATGGCCGGGAAGCGCCACCACAGACGGGCTGGGACAAACCCGCCAGGAAGCGCCGACTTCAAAGGGTGGAACAATGGCGGGACAGCGAGTGCCGCTGCACCAGGACCCACACGGCACTGGGACCCCTGCACAGCACCAGGACCCACACGGCACTGGGACCCCTGCGCTGCACCAGGACCCACACGGCACTGGGACCCCTGCACAGCACCAGGACCCACACGGCACTGGGACCCCTGCACTGCACCAGGACCCACATGGCACTGGGACCCCTGCGCTGCACCAGGACCCACACGGCACTGGGACCCCTGCGCTGCACCAGCACTCACACTGTGGCACTGGCATACACATCATGGCACTGGGACACACATCATGGCACTGGGACACGCATCATGGCACTGGGACACGCGTCATGGCACCAGGACACACATCATGGCACTGACACCCACAACGTGGCACAGACACCGTGGCACCCATGCCATGATACCCACGCTGTGGCACCAGCACCCAAACCATAGTCCCTGTGCCAGCCTGGCAACCACCTCCAGAGCACCCACACCTGCCCACCGTGCCCACCTGTTCCCCTTGTAGGCATCCCATGTTCATTCCATGTCCCATCCCATGTACATCCCACGTCCCATCCCTTGACACCCCATGAGCCTGCTCTGTGCTCTCCCCTCCTGCCAGGATGTGCCGGGGTGGTGGTCCCACAGTGTGTGCCCCTGCCCGTGCTGACACCCAGGAAGCCGGGGGGCTCCAGGGGGCTGCAGCTGCCAGACAAAGGTGGGAAACTCCAGGGGCCAAAATAAACCAGGAGAGGTGAGGGGATGCCCTTGGCCCCATTCCCTTGGCCCCGCTGCCCCATGTGCCCACACCAAGAAGGGCTGGGTGTGCCCGGTGACATCCACCCTGTCACTGCCCAGCGGCTGGGGTCCGGGTGTGTGGGGGCCTGTAGGTGCTGGCAGCAGGGCCAGGTACCATGGCCGGGTGCCACAGCTGCTCCCACTGCCAGCCAGGGCTGCTCCCACTGCCAGCCGGGGCTGCTCCCATTGCCAGCCGGGGCTGCTCCCACTGCCAGCCGGGGCTGCTCCCATTGCCAGCCGGGGTTGCTCCCATTGCCAGCCGGGGTTGCTCCCACTGCCAGCCGGGGCTGCTCCCATTGCCAGCCGGGGTTGCTCCCATTGCCAGCCGGGGTTGCTCCCATTGCCAGCCGGGGCTGCTCCCAGCTCTCCCGGGTGTCCCCCGGGTGGCTGGGGGAGGTGTTGGGGTCCCGGGGGCGGCACTTTCCCAGGCTCCACCACGACCCCTCCGTCCGCAGGAAGGTGCCCCCCCGCCCCCCTTCCCACGCCGCCGGGCATCCCGGTGCCAGCGCCGGTGCCCACATCCGCGGGAAGCGGGCAGGAAGGGGGGGCTGGGGGAGGCCAGCAGGGGTCAGGAGGGAACGGCGTGGTGGGGGCCGGGCGGGTCGGGGGGGCCCAGCGTGGGCCCGTCAGAACCCCCCGGCGTCATTTAGAGCCGCTCAGGCGGTGACAGGAATTAAATTGCGTTTGGATTTTCTCATCAGCCTCATCCCGGCGCCTCGTTACGGGAACGTCCCCGCGCCGGCTCATTCCCGCCGTGACAGCCAGGAGCAGCGTGCCTGTGCCACGCACCGCTGGGCATGGGGTGGGATGGATGGAGTGGGGATGGGACCGGGACCAGGGATGGGACGGGACGGGATGGGATGGGCACCACGGGGAAGGCTGTGTGCCACCACAGACCCGGTGGGTACCTTGGGGTGGGCAGTAGGGCAGGAGGTTGGGGTGTGGGGCAATACCGTGCAACATGTCCCTGCGGTGTTCACCCAGCCCATCCCACCATCCCGGTGCCCCCCCGGACCCCGGGCTCTGCCCCTCAGCCAGCAATGGGGTGTGAAGGTGCCAGCTGCTCATCTGTCTCTGCCAGGGCCGTTTGGAGCTGGTGCCACTGGAGTGTGGTGGTGACAGTGCAGCTGGGGGGGTTCAGCAGCCTGGGGTCCAGTCCCCATGCCCATCCCCAGGACAGGGTAGGGGCTGGGGGTGAGTGGAACTCCCAGAGAGAGTGCCCATGGGGCAGGGTTATGTGGGGCTTTAGAGGGGACCAGGGACAGTCCCCAGTGAGGGGCAGGGGTGGGCATTGTGGGGCAGGAGGGGGCAGCACTTGGGGATGTTGGCATAGGAGGGAGGGCTGATGCTGTGTCCCCCCTGGGCTGTGTTGTGCCCCCATTGTGCCCCACCTTGGCACTCTGCAGTGGCCCTGGGGCGCAACAGCTGCAGGGCTGGGGGGGGTCAGGGGGCTTAGAGGTTCCTCTGAGGGGTCCCTCCTGCTGAGTCCCCCCAGTACTGCACCTCTAGCCCCCTCGGCATGGCCAGAGCATCCCTGTGCCACCATCCCCCTATCCAGATACTGGGACCCTCCAGCCTGGGACCATCCCCAGTGGGAGCCCTGGGGGTCCCACATGGCCCAGGAGCTCCTGGGGGTCCTGTCACCCGGTCATGGGGGTCCATGCCATGCCCGGGTCCTGCCAGGCAGAGCTGAGGACCCCTCACTGCCCCCCCAGGTTAAGGACAGGGCGCCGGGGGGCTCAGGTTTCCCTCCCTGCCGGGCTGGAGCCGGGGGCCATTAGCCCCCTTGGAGCATGACGGGGCACATCAAAGGGCCTTTGGCCTGACTGCAGCTCGGGGGTGCAGGACCCCCTCCCAGCACCTGCCCCTGCGCCGCTGGACCCCCAGCTCTCATCTCCCCCACTCTCTGGGGCAGCCCCCATAGGCGCTGGGGCCAGGCCGCAGGCGGGGGCTCATTTACCAACGTCAGCCCCGCAGTTGGTTTGAATTAGGCTCCTCCAGGGCCGGCGCTGATAAGGGAGGGGGTTCAGGGCTGGGGGGGCGTGGGGGGCTCCGGGGGGCTTCCTGCTCTGCCGTCTGTAACTGGCTGCCAGAGCCACTGCTGACAGACACGAGGACGGCCCCCGCCTCACCACCCCCGGCATCCGTCTGTCCGTCCATCCATCCCTCCATTCACCATCCCCGCGTCCACCCACCCGTCCACTCCCCCACAGCCAGCCTTGGTTCAGACCCCCACCCCGCACCCCTCCTCCTCCAGCCTCAGTTGCAAACCTAGTCTTGCACCCCGATCCCTATGGTTCCAGTTGGGACCCCCATCCTACTCCTCCACCCCTCCAGCCCTGTTTGGGACACCCGTCCCACATTCCAAGCCCTCCACCCTCACTGAGACCCCCGTTCTGCTCCCCCGCCCCTCCAGCCTCATCGGAGACCCCCGTCCCGCAGGTCCTCGCGGGGGCTTTGTGCGGGGGTGCCCGGCCGCCCCCGCCCGCTGAGCGATGGCCGACAGCTGGGCCGGGCCGGGCCGTAACCGGATCCCCCGGCGGGGAGGTCCCGGGCGAGGATCCCGGCGCGGGGCCGGGGGTGAGGGACGGGCCACGGCGCGTCCCCCGGGGGTGGGCACAGGCACCCGATGCCACGTGCACCGAGGCCGGGGGGTCCCACCCAGGACGGGATGCCCGGCTCGGGGGGGCGAGGGCGGGGAGCGACCCCCGACAGCCGCCCGGCACGGCCCGGTACTGTCACCACCCCGCCGAGGGTGCCCATCACCCGGCCCCGAGCCCTGTGCCGCGGCCAGGGCCACTCCAGATCTGCGCTCCCGGGAGCACCGGGAGCACCGGGATCCGGCGGCCGTTCCTCCCGCAGCACCGGGCCTCGTAACCGTGGGTCCCATCCCCGGGACCCCCACACCCGCAGCTGTGCCCGTGGCTGCAGATCCAGATGGTGGAATATTGTCCCGGGGTAATTAGGGCCGTGTGGGGCGGGGGGGCCGCGAGACACCCTGGCAATCAAAGGGCCGATGACTTTGTAATGGCTCATTATGTAGGATGGGGGGCCCGCGGGGGCCAGACACGCACCAGGCAGCCGTGACAGGGATCGATCTGCTCGGGGGTGAGGGGCTGTGAGACCCCCCCTGCACGGCAGGGGAATGGGGAGGGAGGGGGCTGCAACCCTCCAGCCCCCATCACAGCCCCACTGCCCACGGTGCACCCCCAGCCCCCCCATACTGCAGCCCACGGCTCAGCACCCCCCCAGTTGCAGCCCACCTGGGGGGCACTGCCTCCCCCATGCAGCCCCCCCCTGCTCCTGGAGGTGCTGGTACTGAGGGGGCCCCCCAGAGGCCCCTGTAGCAGACCCCCCAGAGGCCCCCACCCCAAACCCAGCCCAGCCCCTCCAGACAGATCAGGGACCCGGAGGGGTTTTTCCACAATTTTATTCCAAAAATAAACTCGAAGGGTGGTATAAGTTATGGGGGGCGGGAGCAGGGCTGCACGGGGGGAGGCAGCACCCAACCCCTGCCCCTACCTCCTCTTGTCCTTGATGCTGTAGTGCAGCAGGAGGGGCGCAGGCTGCGGGGATGGGGGGGTCAGGGCTGGGGGACCCCGGGCAGGGACCTCCAACCCCGGCCCAGGGATGCCAAACCCCAGCCCAGGTTCTGCGCCCTGGGACAGGGACCCCAAACTCCAGCCCAGGACACCAAACCCCAACCCAGGGACCCGCCCTGGGGCAGGGATCCCAAACTCCAGTCCAGGATCCCCCTGGGGCACCGACCCCCAAATCCCAGCCTAGGACTCCAAACCCCGGCCCAGGACCCCCTGCCTGGGGCAGGGCCCTCCCCCCCGAACATGGCCAAGCCCTTCAGAGACCCCCCATCCCCTGACACGTGCAGGGGCCAAGGACCCCCTGGGTCACCACTGTGGCCACTGACATCAATCATCCTCAATCCCCTCGTCCAGCACAGCCCTGAGCCCCCCAGGAGGGTCACCCAGCCCCCTCCGAACCGGGGGCTGCCGTCCCCCCAAAGCCCACCTTGCCGAACCAGCGCGAGAGCCAGAGCTGCTTCATCGTCATGTGGTCAGGGAGGGGCTCGTTGTCAAACAGGATCTGCACCTGCACAGGGGGCTGCGTCAGGGGGGCCGGGATCCCCCCGGGGCCAGGACCACCCCCGAGTCTGACCCCTCCGGACCCCACTCACGTGCTGCAGGGGCAGCCCCAGTCGGTGGCACAGGACCCTCCGCAGGTGCCGGATCTGCGCCCGCACCGAGCACCTCACGTACTTCTGCTGCAAGGGACAGAGCAGGGCAGAGGGCTGTGGGGACCCCATGCACTTGCCAGGACCCCACACACACCCTGGGACCCAGGCAAGCCCTGGGGCAAGGGCTGGGGGTCAGGGGTAGGGGCTGTGGGGACCCCGCTCACCTGCAGCACGGCCTTGCTCTTGTCCTTGCTGGAGCTGCGAGGGGAAGGGAAGGGGACACGTGTCCAGTCTCAGGGCTGGGGGCCTGGGGTGCTGCTGTGCCCAGTGCCCCCTGCCCACCCTGCCAAGAGGCTGCAGCCCCCCTGGACTCACCTCAGCTTTTCAAGGCAGAGAGAGACGTGCTCGTCGTAGCGGAAATAGTGGGCACGTGAGTGGTCAAAGGTGCTGTAGGGGAGCCCCATGGGGTCACCCCCCACCGTGTCTGGGGACACGGGGGGCACAGTCAGCCCCCTGTGGCCCCAGCACCTTGGCTGGCTGCCCTCTGTGCCCCCCTGTGCCCCCCCCGTAGCCCCCTGGCCCACCGTCACCGCTGGGCTGTGTCACCCGGTCGAGGCCACGGGACTGGTAGAATTCCCGGATCCGTTTCTCCTCACCTGGGGGTGAGAGGTGGCTCAGGGACACCTCTGGGGCCTGTGTGCCCCCGAGGGGAGTCCCTGGGTGCCCTCAGCCCTCCCACTGCTCTCACTGCACCAAGCCCCCACCAGAGGTTGGGGACCTTGTCCCTATCCCCATCCCCATCCCTGTCCCCTCGCAGACGTGTCCCCGATCCTGCCATCCCTCACACCTGTTCCCATGTTCCCTCTCCACTATGGGGTACCAGTGCCCACACCACGTGTCTCCTGTGCCTCCCATCCTTCCTTCCCATGCCCCCCATCCCTCCCCACTGCACCCCCAGCTCTCCCTCCCACATCCCCCATCCCTCCCTCCCTCCCTCTGTGCCCCCCCTGCCCTGGCACTTATCCCTCATCCCCACAGGATCCCTCCTGCCCCCCCGTACTGTGCTGTAGGCCGTGCCCCCCTGTGCCCCCCTGCCCCCCGTACTGTGCTGCAGGTCGTGCCCCCCTGTGCCCCCCGTACTGTGCTGCAGGCCGTGCCCCCCTGTGCCCCCCTGCCCCCCCGTACTGTGCTGCAGGCCGGGCACCAGCTTGTAGACGATGTCCTGCATGACCCGGTCCAGTTTGAGGTTGAGCAGCGGCTGCGTCTCGTGGATCTTGGTGTTGCACATGGGGCAGTACTTGCTGGTCTGCAGGTACTTCACGATGCAGCTCTTGCAGACTGGGGACGGGGACAGGTTGGGGTAGGGCTGGGACTGCACCCCCCCGGCAATCACAGGCGTGCAGCCCCCCCGTGACCCCCAGGGACAGGTGAGGGCACTCACAGGTGTGCAGGCACTCGGTGATGGTGGTGGCGTCGATGAAGTACCCAGCACACAGGAAACACACGATGTGCTCGTTCAGCTCCTTCATCTTCACCTTCACCTCCTCCTGCAGGGACACATCACCCGTCACCCAGAGCCCCCTGAGACCCTTTCACCTGGAAATCCCCCGGCTCACAGAGACTCTCCTGCCGTTCCTTATTGTGTCAGGAAACAGGATTTTGAGAGGCAGGCCACTCTGTCTTCCCTAGTTATGACAGAATATAGGATTTTGGGGGGCTGCCCCCTCGTCTTCCCTTACTATGCCATAAAACAGGACTTTGGGGGGGGCTGGCCCTACATGTTCCTTTATTACTCCAGAAAACAAGATTTTGGGAGGCTTGTCCCCCGTCTTCCCTTATTTTGCCATAAAACAGGACTTTGGGGACCGGGGGGGCCGCGGGTCCCCCCAGCCCAGTGCCCGGCCCTGCCCCTTGGCCACGCCCCTCTCTCCAGGCCCCGCCCCCTCTCCCGCCCCTCGGTCTCACAGCGCCCCCCAGCGGCGGCGCCGCGGCACCTCCCGCCCTCGCCCTCGCCGGCCCCGGCGTTGCCGCCGCCGCCTCCTCCCGGTGCCTCCCTCCCTCCCGATGCGGCCGCTCGCCTCGTTCCGCAGCGGGTCCATCTTGTAGACGGCCTGGAGCTGGTTCCGCAGCCGCATGGCGATGGCCATCGGGCCCCCCTGAGGAGGCGACGCCATCTTAGAGCCGCCTCCGCCTGTGGCCCCGCGCACTTCCGGGTTCGGGGCGGGGCCGCGGCGAGCGACGGGACTACAACTCCCGGCGCGCTCCGCGCGTCGCGTAGAGTGGCGGGTAGTGTGGGCTCGGCCCGGTAGTGACCCCTAACCACGGTCTGCGGAGAGACCCCCCGGGATCCCAGGACCCCTCAGACTTGTCCGTGACGGGGGGACCCGCCGGGAGACGCCGCCGCCGGACCCGCCGTGCCCTGGGGGAGGGCAATAGCGATGGGGCGCTCTCTTGACAGGCAGCAGCCGCCGCCAATCAGAGAGGGCGCTGCGTGCGCGTGGTGCCGGCAGGGGGCAGCAGAGCGCCGCGGGGAGCGGGGGGACCGGGGGGAGCGGGATGGGGACAACGGGAGGACACGGGGCGGAGCGGGGCGGGGGGACACGGGGCAGAGCGGGATGGGGGGACACGGGGGCGGGGCGGGACACGGGGCAGGCGGGATGGGGGACACGGGAGGACACGGGGCAGAGCGGGGCGGGGGGACACGGGGCAGAGCGGGGCGGGGGGACACGGGGCGGAGCGGGGTGGGGGGACACGGGGCAGAGCGGGGCGGGGGGACACGGGGCGGAGCGGGGGGCCGGCACTGGGCTGCGGGCTGGGGTGCCGGGGTGCACAGGGGCGCAGGCTGGGGTGCCGGGGTGCTGACACTGGCGGTTTGGGATGCCGGGTGCTGGCAGAGTTGGAGTACTCTGGTGCTGCCAGCTCGGAGTGCCGGGGTTCAGGCAGGGTTGGGGATGGCACTGGCTGTTCGGGGTGCTGGGGTGTTGCTGGGGTATCGAGGTGCTGGCGCGTCGGGGTGTCGGGGTGCCTAGGTGCTGACGTTTGGGGTGGCAGGTGTTGGGTGCTGACGGGGTTGTGGATGACGCTGTCGGATCCGGGGTGCTGGTGCGCTGGACCCTCCGGCGCAGTCGGAGCCGTGCTAACGGGGGGTTGGCTCAGGGGAAGCAGCGGCCGCGCTAATGCGGAGCCCAGCTGAGCCGAAAGCGCCGCCACGGTCCCTCACGGCCCCTCAGTGCCCCCCACAGCTCCCCACGGCTCCTCACGGACTGGGCACCCTCCCGGGACCAAAGCCCGAGCGGCGGGGAAGAGGCTGCTGCTTACCATGAAGTGGGAACGGGCAGGGGGCCACGGCGGACCCCCCAGGCTCGGGCTGGCATCCATCACCCCGGCACAGAGCTCCTGGCACGGAGCCGCGCTGCCAGCCCTGCTCCGACACCGTCACCAGCTCTGCGCGGGCTGCCACGGCCAGGGATAGTGCGGGTCCGGGGGCTCCTGCTCCCGGCCCTGGCCCCGATCCCGGTCTCGGTCCCGGTCGTAGTCCAGATCCCGGTCCCGGTCAGAGCACGTGCTGCCATCACCTCAGCTCGCCCAGTCAGCCCAGTGTGCCCAGTCCAGTCCCACCGGCCGAACTGGCTCGGCCCCCTCCGACTGATCAAAGCGGCTCAGCCTTGGCCCCGTGCGGCACCGGCCGAGCCCCGGTGTCCCCCCGGTGCCAGCCCCCCGTCCCGGGCCGCGCACCGCGTGTGGCCGGGCCCCGGCACCCCACCGGCAGCAGCACGAGCCCCTCCCGGTGCCGGGGCGCCGGCGGGCAGAGGCGCAGGACCAGCCCCCGCCCCGGGCGGACCGCGGCCCCCGCCGCCCGCCCACCCCGTGCCCGCCCCTCTGGGGAGGCGAGAGTGCGGCGGGGGCCGGTGACCCCCGGCTGGGGATGGTCCGGCCCCATCTGTACCTGCCAGGAGCCATCCGGGGAGGGGCGGTGGGCTGCGGGGGTCACAGCGGGGCCAGCGCGGTCCCGCGCCGGGGCAGCATCGCTCTCTGCCGCTGCCGTGATGAGCACTGGCACAGCACCGGGCACCGGCACGGCACCGGGCAGCGGCACGGCACCGGGCAATGGCACCGGCACCGGGCAATGGCACCGGCACCGGGTAATGGTACCGGCACCGGGCAATGGCACCGGCACCGGGAGCCCCCGCCAGGCAAGGAGTGGGCTCCGTGAGTGGCTCTGCAGGGGCCCCACGGGGCTGGGGGCGGAGTGCCCGCCCCGGACCGGGGTCCCGGCACCGGGTGCTCCCGGAGCCGCCCCCGCCAGCCGGGCACGCGGAAGGCCGCGGATCCATCTCCCCGTTAATAATTGATGGCGGGAGCCGCCGGGGCCGCGTGGGGCTGTGGGGCTGAGGCTTTTAGCTTAGCCCTACTCAGATATTCAGCTCCATTTCCGCGGCAGGGCCGGGGCGGCTCCTTCTGGGAAGTGCTGCCGGGGGCTTTCCTGGCCAGACCCCTCGCTGGGGCTGAGCGAGGCTGGGCCGAGGCCGGACGTGTTCGTGACCGCAGTGGGAGCAGGGCTGGGGCTGGGCTGAGGCCAGACTCGCTCATCACCACAGTGCTGCGGGCCAGCAGAGTTAGGCCACCCTGGTCGGTCCCACTGTACCGCGGCTGGAGCTGAGATCCCGTCCTGGCGTCCCCATGGCTGGAGCCACTGTCCCAGCCCCACACTGGCCCCACATGCTGGGTCATGGCCCCATGGGCACTCTGAGGATGGTGTAACCATGGCAAGGCAGGCAGGGGGCTGTGACAGGGTGGGCATGGGTCCACCAGGGTGGTCAGGGATTCCTGTAAGGTGGGCAGGGATTCCTCAGGGAAGGCGGGGGAACCTCAGGGCAGGTGGGATGGGCAAGGGTCCCCAGCAGTGCTGGTAGGGAGTGGGCAGGGGACCCTATCACGGCAGGCAGGGGTCTTCCAGGATGGACAGGAGTCCCCATAGGGTGGGCAGGGGTCTCCCAGCAGTCCCTGTGAGGCGGGCAGGGGTCCATGGCAGGCAGGCAGGGGTCCTCATTGTGGTGGCGGGGGCTGGGCTCTCATGGACTGAGCTCCTGCCTAATGCACCGAGTGCATCTACAGAATCCAATTAACCTTCGATAACGAGGCCCTGAGCGACGTGGCTGTCAGCGGCCACCAGCCACCGGCACACGGCTGTCAGTGGCCACTGGACACTGGCACGTGGCAGCCCCTGATGGGCACCCAGCCCACTGGGATGGGCAGCACTGTCACCGCAGCCCTTGGCCAGGCAGGACCCCCCAGCAGCCCCCAGCTGCTGTTGGGCCCTGGGGAGGTAGGGATGGGGGTACACAAGCACCCTAAGGAGCACCCAGCATGGGAGAGGGTCCCGGTGTGCCTACCCATGGCTCCGAGGCACTGGCCCTACTGATCGGGGGGCTGGAGCTGCCTGTCCTGCAGCTCAAGGTGTGCCCCCCACTCCTGCAGTACCCCCTCCTGCCCCCTGCTCTATCCCCCTCCCCACTGTCCTCACTCCAGTGAAGGCTGGGGGCTCAGCTGCTGCCCCACTGGCATTGGAGCTGGCCATGGCAGGTGCTCCCGACGGGCAGGGCTCACTGGGACACCCCCCAGATAGAGACGTGCAACCACAGCACCTCTGCAGCCCCTCCAGCCCAGGCTATGCCCCCCCAGCTCCTCTGACCCTGCTCCCAGCCGCGCCCCCAGTCCGGGCCCCCGGTAGCCACTGGGGCGGGGGCTGCCCGGCCCCTCGACCCCACTGTCCCCCGCCCCAGGGGCTGCAGCCTGGTGGTACCCGGGGGGGGCAGCCCCCCACAGCCGGGGGTTGGCGTCACCGTGCAGCCGCCCCCGCATCCATGTGGCACCGGCTCCTCCCCGAGGACACCGCGCAGACGCCGAGGGCCACCGTGACGTCCGGCCGGGCGACTCGGCCATCGGGGCCCCGGGAGCCCCAGTGGCCACATGGATCCCGTCCTGGCCTCATCCTCGCCCTATACCAACCCCATCTCGATCCCCTCCTGACCCCATCCCGAATCCACCCCAGCCCTATTCTGGCCCCATCCATCCCCATCCCAGCCCTCCCGCCGGGTCGGCTGGGTCGGGGTGGGCACCGCGCCCACCGGCTGCTGCCGCCTTACCCCGCGCACCCTGTCCGGGTGCCGGCGCCCGCGGCGGGCGGGCGGCGGGGGGCACCGGGAGTGTTTCATGCGGTTAAGAAGTGTCTGATTGAGGCAGGAGGCGCCAGCAGCTCCCCCGGGAGCCGCAAGCCAAGGACTGGAGGACCAAATGCAGGCTAAAGTAATCCAATCTGGGCTGGTTCATCTAATTAGCCCAGAATTAACCCAGCAGCCAGAGAGGAGCTGACTGTCCCTCCAGTTTGCCAGCGGGTTTGGGGGGAAGCGGGAGGAAGAAGGGGACGTCCAGCGGTAATGAGATTACGGGGGGGGCGGGCGGGAGCGGGCGCTCGGCAGCCTCTGGCCGGTGGGAACGTGGGGCCCTGCCAGGTCCCCGCCACGCCATCGCCGCGGTGGCCGGGGCACCGGGGTGACCGCCGGCGGCACCGGGGGCGGGCAGGGACCTGTCCCAGCGCCCCCTGCTCCGGCAGCAGCGCCCACAGCATCGCTGTCGGGGACGGGGCCACCGGCACGGCGGCACCGGGGACGTGTCACCACCAAGCTGCACAACTGCACCGGCAGCTGCACCGGTCATGGTGGGGGACAGGGCGAAGGGCCCTGGCCGTTCCTGGCAGGAGCCCCTTTGGGGGGCGAGCGGGGGCCAGACCCCCTGTGTGACCCCCCTGCTCCCAGCTCGGCTGTGCCGAGGGTCGGGGTGGCCTGGGGGGCCCGGGGTGAGGGGCTGCTGCTGCAGGTCTGGCGGTGGCAGGACCTGGTGCCACAGTGGCCGAAGGTTGATTCCCTCCTGGAATTGGGCAAGCGCCCCTTTTTCCACTGCGTCCCTTACAGCCATCCCTGCCACCCGGGTGCCAGGTCATGTTCCTGCCTGACACGGGGATGCGTCCCCTGTGCCCAGTGAGGACCACCAGTCCAGCCCCCTGGGGTGGGAGAAGGCACACACCAAGGATATAGGGGTCTCTGCTGTGGCCAAGGAATGAGGAAGGGTTTGTACCGGCACAGTGGGGGGTTCCAGGGGCAGAGACCCTGCCTGGCCTCACAGTGGCTCTGGGGACCCCCAGACAGGCACAGGGACACGGCCTCCATTCCGGTGGGTCTCTGAGTGGACAGGGCCAGCGGCACGAAGCGGTCACACTGAGGGGCACCCTGCACCCACAGCTGGGGTGGGAGGG